CCAAGCCTGGGCAAAGAGCGTCTGATACGCCGTGGGACGGTACTCCGGGCGTCGGTGCAACCCAGCGTGCCCAACTTGAAGAACTCGGAGGGCACAGGTTGACGCATGACATCACGTCCGGTACCCTTCGCCGGTGCGACAATTGGGTGCAGCCGTGGGCGATCAGGGCCACGAGTGGACACTCCAGCAACTCCAATTCGTTGGTGCGGGTGAATGACGACCGGGTCGCATGCCACTTGACCACGAGCTTGGTCAACCAGATTGGTGGGGGGTATCACACCACGGCCCCAGAGCTTCTCGCCAACATCGTGGCGAAAGGACTTCTTCCAGGCGGAGGGGCGTCAGGTGGTCGAGTCCACAGCCATTTCGGGACGTTCCCGCCATGGGATCCGAGAAATCAGACGGTGAGAACAAGGATTCCCGGAAGGCCGAGGTCACCAATTGCAGTATTGTACGTTCCAGCCTATGAACTCATGCGCTACAACGCAGTGATCACGATCAATGGAATGTTTCTCGTCCAGCGGCAAATTCCATTCGAGGCCGTCAAGCACGTTTGGATCTGCGTGCCAAGCCAAGGAAGGTACTTCGAGTTCAGCGAAGTCTTCAAGGTGTACTCCAAAGAGCTGTCCAAGGAGATGGTCGAAGGGTATGGGGACGCACGCATCAATCCCGATCGTGACCCTCCAAAACCTTCGGTGGAAGACCTCGTCAGCACCATGGAAGGCACCGACGCTGGCCCGCATGAAGGCGAGAGGCGCGAGATCTTGCAAGCAATTGAGCAGGCGGGCGACACCGTTCCTGGAAACATCATCAAGCGTGCTTTCCAGTTTCTCTCAAGGACATTCCGGCGAGTGACGACTCACACCACCACAAGCGATCCGCTGATCTTGAGGGTTTGCCCCTGCTGCGGCAGGCATACCCCTGCGAGCTTCGCAATTTGCCTCACGTGTGGGAGAGTTTTCCTGTCCATGGGGAGGATCCAGCATGTGCGTGCCAATCCGGAACCCGAAAGGATTGATCCGGAAGTGGTCCGCCAGGCACTCAACCAGGCCGCCGCCGTCGTCAACAACGAAGTTGTGGAGATTGACGTGGAAGAGGAGCCAACTTCAGAACCTGTCCAGGAGGATGCGCTTCCGCTCCGCGGGGTGCAGAATCCGGCAGGGGATGTGGAGGCAAACAGTCCTCGAGAAAGCGTGGCGGAACCTGAGGCCGAGGAGATCCCCGACGAGATTCGCGACATGTACCGCGATGTGGAGATGGAGGCTCCCAACCAAGAGGAAGTGGAGATAGATGCGCAGAACCAGCGAGCATTCGTTTTGGTTGGAGACAGGGAAGGCGATACGTTGGACGATCGAAACGAGAGGAAAGCTCGCCTTGCGCTGGAGTGCAACGTCAACATCGACACGGACTATGCAGCGTGCGTGGACCACAACTTCAGGTTGTACTGTCACCTCGACGCCTTCTTTGCGTACGTGTTGGTCCATAAATGGAATCTGTTCGAGAAGATCATCATGACTCCATACAAGAAGATGAAGGACCAGTTCGCCTCAGGCATGAGACACGACGCATCTGGGACATGGCCAATTGTCCCCATCGATGAGGACACGGCGTTGCCGAGAGACCTCATGGAAGACGAGGTAAGGCAGTATGCCAGCTCTGTGGAGAACCAGCAGTTCATGATTGAGCGTTATTACGCCAACAAGTTCGTCTTCTACGTCATGCGTGGGGCGATCCAGCTGGGATACAACAAGGAGAGCTTCAACCTCCCCATGATTCCGGATGAGGCCGAGGACCCGAAAGCATTTGCTGAAGCCGGGCAAAGGGTCCACATGTTCATGGCCAAAATCATCTATCAGGTGCTGAACGTGAGGCTTTATTCCTACACGAAACCCAACGCTGAGATCCCGTACCACGCGGCATTCAAATACATCAACCCGATCCAGCTGCTCAGTTTGATGGACTCGCAGAAGGTGAGCGTTAACAACCTTCTGGTGATGAGGGATTCGGGGTGCGCTTTACCCAACCAGTACAGCAAGAAGCTGGACAGATGGTTGAGTGATCAAAAGAAGGACATGAGCATCCTGAAGTTGAAGCCCACACAGTATTTGGAGAATCCAAAGGCGTCGGCTTTGTACCTTGCCTATGACCCTTCAGCATCCGCACCTTCGGTTACTTCGTCGGGAGGATCTCGTCATCCTGAAGCGGACGAGACGGACATGCCGGCTCGAGCGAAGGCCCGCATGAGTCAGCCGAAGCCCAAGACTTCTCATCCTGGGACACCTCAAGCTGCTCCCAAAGATCCTCGCGGTCATTCGAGAAAGGGATCGGGAAAGAAAGGGTGAATGATGCACTCGGATCCTCCGGTATGTCATCCCCTGGAATCCATGGTATTCCTGAAATCTGGTTGTGGCTCAGCATTTTGCGTTCTCAGTTTTGATTCCTCTTTTCCCTATGGATGCAACAGATGATACGATGGAGTACGTCATTATATCCACCGATGCTATTTCTCTTTTTGGCCACTGCATAGCAGCAGCGGGGCAATGTGCCAATGCGCTCGCTGGAGGGAAATGTGCGATTCTTCGCAGCTCGTGTGGTAGCCGAGTGGGTATGGGTTATGCTCTGCTAACTTGGCCGATGCTACTGCTTTTCAGTCATGCATTCTGGAGACGCAATGTGATGGATCAGCAATTTGCTGACATGTTTTCAGGGCCTTTCGCGCCCATGATTCCGCAACCGTGAGCAGCAAGTCTTTGTACAGACAAAGGATGGGATTGAACGCTTCAGTAGCTGAGAGTCTGTCTCACATCTATCAATTCGGGCAAAGAGAGCAAAACAGTGGAGAACGGCCAGACTTTAAGTCGCTTTTAACTGGGACCATTGTATGTTCGTGACGCAAGTTCGTCTAGCATTTTTGCAAATCCCAGCCGTGGGGGGTGTGAATGATCCCCGAACCACAGCACATTTTGGGAACCCCTTTGTGTCGGCTCCGCCGCACATCGGGGAAACCACCTTAGAACGCCGTGGCCTGTTCACCATGTTTGGCTCAAGTAACCCCTAGAGTGAAGGTCACCCATAGGTTGGAAGTAAGCGCAATAGCGTAACTGGAAACCGCCCGGGTGCACGAGACGGAGACTGAAGGCGAACATCAGTGCAGAAAACAAGTGCGAGACCATTTGGCTGGTGAGGAGCCAAAGCGTAGTGCAAGCAACTACCCGACCTCACGCACGAACCCTAAACCTAAACCCTAAACCCTGAACCCTACCCTAAACCCTAAACCCTAAACCCTAAACCCTAAACCCTAAACCCTAAACCCTAAACTCTAAACCCTAAACCCTAAACCCTAAACCCTAAACCCTAAACCCTAAACCCTAAACCCTAAACCCTAAACCCTAAACCCTAAACCCTAAACCCTAGCCACTCTGCCAAGGTTTCGCTGGATACATTTCACGCAGCAGCATCTGGGACTGTTCCAGATGAGTAGGAGCGTGCCGACCGCGGGCCTTCAAGAACCGAAACCCCAAAGGTTGAGGGTGCAGGGTTTAGGGTTTAGGGTTTAGGGTTTAGGGTTTAGGGTTTAGGGTTTAGGGTTTAGGGTTTAGGGTTTAGGGTTTAGGGTTTAGGGTTTAGGGTTCCATCAACCGCAGCTGCCAAACACAGAAACTCCACCCTGAACCCTGAGCCCCCCAAACCTATATCCTGATGGCCCTGTTTGCAGACAACGGATTGACCCGAAGTAAGCCCTAAATCTAAACCCTAAACCCTAAATCCTAAAATCTGAGTCACAAAAATGGTTTGGTTAAGGTGCAGGGCTTCGCGCCCAAGGCGTGGCATTTCAACGTTTGCACCCTCAACAGACCCCTAAAGCCTAAACCTTAGAGCCGAAAACCTAAACCCCAAGCCCTAGCAAGGTACCGGGCCTTTCAGGGTCCAAGGAACCCTACCATCTGCTGGCCTTCCTCGAGGACCCCCACCTCACGGCGGAACTCTCTTTGGGTTTAGAGTTTAGGGTTGAAGCTCTAAACTCTAACCCTAAACCCCTAAACCTTAAAGCCGTGGACCCGAAATCCCGAACTCTGAAACCTAAACTGCTAAACTCCCAAGCCCTACACCCTAAACCCTAAACCCTAAACCCTAAACCCCAAACCCCAAACCCCAAACCCCAAACCCCAAACCCTAAACCCTAAACCCTACACCCTAAACCAACCCTAAAGGACACCGACTGTCAGCCTGCAACCCCGGCTCCGCCGGGCGGGGTCCCCGAGCCTTGGCGATGGCCACAAATCGCCGCTTGGCTGTGGGGTTTAGGGGTTTAGCCAAAGGTTGAGGGTGCAGGTTTTAGGTTTTAGGGTTTAGGGTTTAGGGTTTAGGGTTTGGAGTTTAGGGTTTAGGGGTTTAGGGTTTAGGGCTTTTGGGTTTTAGGCTTTAGGCTTTCGGCTTTAGGGTAAGTGGGCGAAACATCATAGTCCCTGGTTGCCTGTCCGCAGCCTCGTGTTGTTTTCTCACATTGGTCGGGCAAAATAGGCGAGTATAGAATGTTTTGAATTTAGAATGTTGTGTTGAAGATCCTCCTAAATCTTACACCCTAAACCCTAAACCCTGAACCCTAAACCCTAAACCCGAAGCCCTAAACCCTAAACCCTAAACGCGGAGCAACGCCACGGTGACAGATGAAATTGTCCGAACTGACCAGTCTCAGCCTCGCAAAATCCCAAAACTTAAGCCCTGACGACCAAGACCTCAAACTAATGGCTTAAGAACCCCGAAAAATAAAAGAAAACATGTTCGTCCTTATTAAGGGTAATATAAGGACTATTGTTTTTTATTCTTTTGGGGTTCTTAAGCAAATAGCAGCTTATACTAACCGTCCTTAATCGGGATTCTAGTACCCCCTAGCGGAATCCCAAGTAAGGACTGGTAGCATCAGGGGGAACATCCCAACCCCAAGCCCTCAAAACCGAATGTCTTTGGCACAGGGCACGCCTCAGCGGGCGCCCGGCCCAATGTCATCCCAGGCAAGGAGCGGATTGCAGTTTAGGGTTTAGGGTTTAGGGTTTGGGGTTTAGGGTTTGTAGCTGGGGTTTGCTTGACCCCAAGAAGGCCTGACTCGGACCACTGGATGCCCTTAAGGCAGCCCAGCCCAGCCCTGAGGCCAGCAGCAGGGCCTCCACAGCAGGGTCTGCAGCGATGGATGCTCTCGAGACACTGCAGGTCGTCCGGGAGTTGGAGGAGGCCACTTTTGTCATTGACAGCCAGACCGAGGAGCTGACCATCTTAGAGGCGCACTTGAAGTTTGTCCAGGCACCATCGGACGTGGAGTTCAAGCTGCATCTGCCTTCGGTGAAGTCCATCTCCAGGCAGACCGACTGGCCGAACCTGCAGAGAGATCTCACTCATTATGCACATGGGCTGCGTAGAGGTGCACCCGACCTGCCAGCGCGCCTGCGCCCGCTTCGCGTCTGCATTCCTGGCAACCCGCGGAAGTACTTGAAGGCCGAGTACGCGCAGCTGAGCTGCGCCAATCGCACACTCTTGCGCGACGGGCTTTTGTTCCTGCACCTGCATCTGAAGAACTTCAACAAGACGGAGGCAGGCTGACATCAGCATTGTGGGGCCTGTTTGTCCCTGATCCTGTGTAGGGTTCACCCCGACCCACTCACCCTCTCCCCTAAACCCTAAACCCGAAACCCTAAATCCGAAACACTAAACCCTAAACCCTAAACCCTAAACCCTAAACCCTAAACCCAAAACCCTAAAACCTAAACCTGTGTGTATGTTTCCCGGGTGCGACCACAAAGGCCTATCCCACTCGACCCGTCAGCCGCTTTCACGGCTTCGCCTTCCAGGAAGAGGAGAATCAAGGGACTGAAGGGTTTAGGGTTTAGGGTTTAGGGTTTAGGGTTTAGGGTTTAGGGTTTAGGGTTTAGGGTTTAGGGTTTAGGGTTTAGGGTTTAGGGTTTAGGGTTCAGGGTTCAGGGTTCAGGGTTCAGGGTTCAGGGCCTTATAAACCCTGAGCCCGAAATCCTCAACCCTCAGCCCTCCAAACTTTAAACCCTAAACCCTACCCCACCAAACCCCAAACCCCCTAAACCCCGCAAACCCCCCAAACCACCCAAACCCCGCAGACCCCCCAAACCCCGCAGACTCCCCCCCCCTCCCCCAGTGCTAAAGCACCACTAAGCTTGCGCCCCTGAAATATAAAGACGGATGCCCCCTAATCCCGAACTGCGAGGGCCCGCTCCTTCGCCCCCCAAAGGCGTCCCAGGGATTATATAGGGTTTAGGGGTTTAGGGGTTTAGGGGTTTAGGGTTTAGGGTTTAGGGTTTAGGGTTTAGGGTTTAGGGTTTAGGATTTTGGGTGTAGGGTTTAGGGTTCAATCTGAAGGACCTGGAGCAGAGCAGCGACGACGGACTGAGTTCTGAGGCGACGAGCAGCGCCATCTGAGCCCCTCAGCGGCTCTTTCCTGCTCTGGGGCAGTGGTGTGTAGGGTTGAGGGTTTGGGGTTTGGGGTTTAGGGTTGGGGTTGACGGGCGTTTGCATGGCTTAGGGGGTGGCTAAGGTTTCTGGCTTAGAGCGGCTTAGAACTGTAGGTTGTTTACGTCCGAATTTGATCCTTAGACCCCACACCCGAAACTCTGGTTTTCTGTACGACACGGAGGTTCCCAGGAGGGCCAAACCCTAAACCCTAAACCCGAAACCCCAAACCCAAACCCCAAACCCCAAACCCTAAACCCTAAACCCCAAACCCTAAACCCCAATTCTCAGTCTGAAGGACTGGAGAGTTGGCCCGCCTGCCACCGTGGCTGAAAAAGAAAGCCTTCGCGCAAGGGACTAAAGCAGGGACACGTACAAGGGTTAGCGTTTAGGGTTTATGTTTTTTTTTTTTTGGTTTAGGGTTTCGGGTTTAGGGTTTAGGGGTGATTTGGGGGTTATTTAGGGCTACTTAGGTATATAGGGACTATACAAGGGTATTATAGAATGGTTACATACGGGAATAATATTTTCGGGGTCCCTTTCCTAGGGGTCCTTCCTTGTACCATCCATCCAAAACCCGAAACACCCTAGACTCAGGCCCTCAACATCCCTCAACCCTAAACCCTAAGCCCTAAACCCTAAACTCTAAACCCTCCAAAACCTGAGATTACCAAAACATGGGGAAATCCAAAGCGTTGCAATGCACACCGGGGGGGGGGATCCAGGAAGCTTGAACCATCTGAAGGGGTTTGGAGCGCTTTGGGGAGTTTGGGGTGTTTACGGTTTATAGGGTTTAGGCTTAGGGTTAGGGTTTTGGGTTCAGGGTTGGGGTTTAGGGTTAGGGTTCAGGGCTAGGGTTTAGGGGCTGAGGTCTTTGTTGCTCACGGGCTTGGCGCTGCTGCCCCCCCGCCCAAGGTTTAGGAGTTCTTTGGGGCTTAGGGTTTATGGGGTTTAGGGGGGGCTAGGGTTTGGGATTTGACGTCTGGGTGTTAGCGTTTTGGGATTTGTGGGGGTTCAGGGAACCCTAAA